AATCACGATTATCGCCGTCTCCCATCATAATCGGCAATGGCGCGGGCGAAGCCGCCACAACCCTGCCTTTGACGCCCCCCGCGCTCTTAAACAACTACCATCATATGCTGCATTCTGGTCTCTGCAGTCAACGGCTGACCAAACATAATTACTCTGGCGCGCGGCGTGAATCGGTTGCGGACGCCCCTGTTGCAGTTGAGCCCAATGGGGCAGTTCACTTGGGACCCCCGCCGCCATGGATGCTTTGCTGATCGCAGCCGAACCCGACGTCGGTGAACTGGCTCGCTGAATCTCTGGCGGTGCTGCTGCCGCAGCTTTCGGAGGTGGCGGCGGTGCAGGGAGTACTGGAGCTGTTGCTGCTGCCTGCGCTGGCGGGGTGCCGCTGCCGCTGCCGGCGCTGCTGATGCCAGCTCTTGTCTCTCCTGACCGTTAAACAGTACGCCAGAAAAAAACCCAATCAGTGGATGGTTTGAAAATTCGTGATCTGGATGTTCAGATCGATTGTAAGAACGGTAGTAAGATCGATAATGGGGTCGATAGTGAGGACGATAACAACGTCGACCATGAGACCAATAGTGAAATCGATTCAGTGAGATCGATAGTGAGATCGATTATGAAATCGCACATGCGATCCAATTGTGAGATCGATTGCGAGATCGATAGTGACATCGATTGTGATATCGATGGGAAAGTCGATGGAGAGGTGGGTAATGAGATCAATGGTGAGACCACCGATCGATAAGGAGATCGACCAAGGACCCGGGAACCTGGAAACCCGGGAACCCCGCCGCCCACTGAAATCGTCCCGGAACCAGCAACCGGGAATCCGGGAACCCAGAACTGGAACCCGGGAACCCGACCGCCTATCGAAATCGGCCCGGAACTTTCGCCAAGTCTTTCAATATCCGCTAGGACCACTGCAATGCAAGCCCTGATTGGGGAATCATGACATCCGTGCTGATCATCTCTAACTCGCTCTGCATAGTTTCGCAGATGGCGATCATAATACTTACCAATGGGTTATGTTAGAATGCTGAGACGTGTTAGCAGCTGGAGCTGCTGACCCTGAAGCTTGGCAATACGGTATCCTGTTGGTTCTAGCTGCACCGCTCGTCAAGGGGTCTTCGGTCTTCAAAACCTGCCTCGTCGTCACAATGAGGGTCGCGAAGACCCAGAACAAGTGCTCCAGATCTCTCTGGAATGCTGCGATATGTCCAAGAGTTTTCGGTAGCATCAGGTATTCGAGATGAGTAGTCGCCGCCTTCTTGATTGCAATCGGAGCTTCCTTGATGACAGACAGGATTACTGCACTAGCGATATGCCCTTGCGTTGGGCGAGACTTCGGCAACCGGTACGTTCCAGATCCCTCGGCTATATTTTCCTCCCTCGCACTCTCAAGCGCACTGCGATCCCGTGAACGCAGACGACTCTTGGGCCGCCGACTGTGGTCTCTGCCTGCTTGGTGTGATCCCCAGACGATCCCACGTGAGCATTGCCAGACAGAAATGTGATTGCGAACGTTGCACGCGTGACATCGCCGTGAATCGAGTTCCATAGCAGCGGCAGCTCAGATTCTGCAAACTGGCGCGCCCACTGATACTGTATCGGACTGGCGGAGCATGTGTGATGTACCCGCACCTGCGGGGGTCGTGAAAGCAACGATAAGCCACCCCTGACTGTGCAGTCACCCCTGAGGCCCTGGGATGCCAGACACTGGCCAGGCAAGGCCTTGAACTTGGGGGCTGAGTCCCGAACACGGCCTTGAGCCACAATGACTACGGGCCTCCTCCTCCTCCTCCTCCTCCTCCTCCTCCCTCTCCTACTCCTCCTCCTCATCCTCCTCCTCCTCCTCCTCATCATCATCATCACCAGCATCATCAACAACATCACCATCACCATCACCATCACCATCATCATCACCATCATCATCATCATCATCATCAGCATCAGCATCAGCATCAGCATCAGCATCAGCATCATCTGCATCAGCATCAGCATCAGCATCAGCATCAGCATCTGCATCAGCATCAGCATCAGCATCAGCATCAGCATCAGCATCAGCATCAGCATCATCATCATCATCATCATCATCATCATCAGCATCATCATCAACATCATCATCATCATCATCATCATCATCATCATCATCATCATCATCATCATTGCCGTTGTCATTCTTCTCCTCGTCGTTTGTCTTCGTTGCCGTCGTCACCATCGTCCCCCCCCCGTCCCTTTCTTGCTCCCGCCTGGTCGGCGGACGCGGACAGAGCACGCGTCGGGCGAGCGCCCACGAATCAGGTCCAGCGCCAGGGAAGGCGCAGGGGGAATGGGCCGCCGCCGGCTGCACGCACGAATGGAGCTCTCGTGCGCAACCTTGCCACCGTTGCATGCGATGCGACCGTCGGGGCCTGCGCTGTCTGGGTTGGGCCGCTGCCGGCTGCACGCCACGAGTGGCCACAGGCGAGAGCGACCGCCGGTGCGCAGCTCGCCGATCGCTGCC